TATGGTCAACAAGTTCATATCATCTGACCGTAGTGAGACGACGCAGACATTTTTTTTTGAAAATTTATTTACGATATATTCCGGTGACATCCCATTCAGTGATTTAAACACAAGTACAGCGATTTTGAAGGTTACTCTTTTGTGTATAATTAAATATTATTCTCTTTCTTTATGTATATATATATTTATATAAATGCAATGAATTGTAATAATGCATACAGTAGTTTAGCATTTATAGCGTTGCTTAATTTTCTATTTAATTTTTCAATCTTTCTTATGATGATCGTGGGTATATATACTGTTGTCCTAACTTAATCGCTTACATCTTTTCAAATTTCAATTAAATCAATCATTTCAACCAAGTCAATCATCGTTTCAATCTAATCAATTTTGTTACGATCGTAAATTTCACAAACTCCAAAATTAATTGTATCTCGAACCGTTTTTTTGTACGCTCTATAATATAGGGTCTATATATTTAGCGTTTCTAACAAACTTCAAATTGCATTACTTAATTTTTATGTCATTGAGATGTGAAAACACTTGTCAATCCAACAATTCAATCATTTCCTCATTCACAATCATTCATTTCACTTGTATATTATTCAATCCAAGAACTTCTAACTAAACAAATTCTAAAGAATGTTTATGTCTCCGGTGGTGCACCCGTTTAACCATTGAAAAACCTATTAATTTAATTTAAAAATTTCAACGGAAGGATTGTATCTGATTGAGAGTGCTCAAGTTTAAAATTTGCACTACAATTTTTAACTTGGTCAACAATGTTTCACGATTTAATTGTACGTCGTTAACGAAAATGTTAGCTATCTTCAGAAACCATTCCGAACGTTTACGTAGCATTTACTTTGTGTCTTCATGTTTGTTTTTGTCCGTGTTCAAATGGCGACGATGACAATTGTTATAACAAAATAGATTTATAATTTTGACATGAAAACTACATGACTTAAAGGTTTTTTACCATGCAATTTATTTGAAATATGCAAGTATAGATGCGTAAGGTGAGGCCTCTGTTCAACGTTAAACAATTCATGTCAAGCTATAAATGAAAACTTAACAAAACGTACCGGAGCAACCCAGCGACATTCTTAACAAGCCGTATCAATTACAATCTAAACGTCTAGCGTATAAATTAAAAAAATGAGACTGACGAGCGCATCACTGTTTTATGGTCTCATTCTAATGGTCTCATTCTAGAATGTTCGTTCGTCAAAATGGCAGCTGATGCTAACTAAAATTAATTCTATCGAATGTAAAGACGCAAAAATGCGTAAAAGAAAGTGATAGAGTTTAAGAAACCAAATTTAAAAGTTTGCCGAACGTTTTAAAAACAGAAACTTGATCGTCATTTCTTGACTGTCCATTTGATTAATCTATGCATATACTTGAAAGTTAAGTTAGTTTAATAATTAATTTTAATATTAATTTTGTTTAACTTTTTTATTTAACCAATTTAAATTTTTCTAAATTTTATGATTAATTGCTAAATTATAATTTTTTTAAGTTTTTGACTTCGTGTTTACTTTGCTGTTACTGATTCATTTACAAACATAGATACCATCTGTTATGGTTATCAAAAATATATAATTACAATTAACAAGATAAAATAAAAATGAGATAGCTCTCTTCGAGCTTAGTCATCACGAGTGGATGAAAAGCATTGCAGTATTGTATCGCTGACAAAAATTAAATAATATTTTTACCTTGCTTTGCTAGAATTGTCCCAAAAATATTGATACTTGAGATTCTAGTATCTATTGAGAGCATTTTCTTTTTGTCAGATTAGCTGGAATGCTCTCAAAATATTTGCACTTAACAAATTGAATTAAAATTAGGTTGTAAAATATAAATTAGTGAAAAATGCAGTATTGATGATTTTAATTAGATAAAGCTTTTTCTATTTTTGTTGTAAGCCATAAAAGATAAAACTAAAAATTTGTTCTAATTGGTACTTGGTAAAAGTCAGACATTAAAACAAATATTGATTTTTTTTTTTCAAGTTAGCCTTTACAAGACTTTTATGTCTTATCTGGTTTTCGCAGATCTACATTAACATTTTCTTTTTTTTGTAATTTGCAATTTGTGGATTTTGAATAAATAAAAATTAAAATCAATCAGTCTCTTAATTGTCTCATTTAATTACATTCCCCATGTCTTTCCAGCCTTCTGTTTTCATGTTTTTAGTTAATTGATAATCAAACAATATAATTTTTTAACTTTCAATATTTCTTGAAATCCTATTTTTTATAATTTCATCTTTCTTAAATTTTTTTGATAAAACTAACT